CCCCCCCCATTTAAAAATACACAAATACACTCTGTCTTCCACTGTCTCTTCTTAATAAAACATCAGAATGGTGACAGCCTTCCCGACCCCCTTTCCTCTTTAAAACATTAAGGAAGTGCTAAGTAAAGAATTCATAGTTCACTCTACACCCCCTCCCTCCCAAGTCGCATTTGGGGGGTAATTTAACCTGAGTATGTAGTATTTCCTAATCAGTTCACTCAGAGGAGACAGGCAACCATTTGTCTTTGCTTCCTGGTGCAGCTTATAGTCCAAGGATTTAAAAAAGTGGCAAGGGGAAGGATTTCATTTTTCAATAAATTAGATTTTCTGAAAGGTAAGCAGGTGGTTCATCCAGTATAGGAAATGATTTATTTTAAGAAAGAAAGAAAAAAAAAAGAAACTCAGTAGGCATACTGCTTGACATGTCGCAATCAAAGTTATCTCCAAAGAAACCTATTAAAACACTGTAATATGGGTCATTAGGAGAGCTGCCACACACCCCTTAAATTTCCACAGTAGATATGTATGTTTGCTAATAACTAAAAAGATTAGCTTTCATTACTGTGATTTACCTTAGATCACAAAGTATCATTTCTCTACAAGACGGGACTGTCAGGCACTGCAAATTGAAGTTAGTTAACACGTCTGTGTAATTTCCAGGGTGAAAATGAGGAAGGTTTGGAAACAGTAGGACTGTATTTTTTTTTCTTTCCCTGATACAAAGCAAACAATTATCAAGCAAAGGGCCAATGCTTGGCCCCTGGGATGCTAGTAACATTTCTTAACACCTGCTGAAACAATGACAAGGTATTAATTTGAAAAACAATGAAGACAACCCGAAGCCACAGTAGTCAACTGTTACACTTTCAAGCAATTTTCATAGACTGGAGCGAGCGGGTTCAGTGATGGTCCTATAATTGCTGCAGTTTTATGAGACGAAACAATAGAGGTTCTCCAATGAGAAGTGAGTGAGAGCTCTGTTCTCAACAGGCACCTCTCTCCTCCTCTGGCAGCTGCACATCAAAAGGCAGTCTCCCTGGGGACAGGGACCCCTACCCGGGGGACTTGGGAAACTTATTATTATTGTTTCCATTTCTTCCCTGATGATGCTTGTGGCAGAGATGGCCTCTTCCTGGACACACGCAGCCACCTTAGGGCTAAGATCCAAAGCCAAAGTGGGCAGACCTTTCAGTAACCAGCGGCGTTAGGAACAGCCCTCTGCAGTAATGGCTATTTTCACCACACCCCTCTTCTCAGTCAACGTGCTATCCTCAAAGGCGCGTTCAAGTTTTAAAAACTTTGATTAAAAAAATAACCCAGTATGATTCACATCCCCTGGGTAGTTAAGAAACTCCATAATTCTCTATTTTTTGACTCTGTCTAATTTTTCTCCCTAGCATTCACCAATATCTGACATTGTACTATGCATTTATTTGTTGGTTTTTTGTCTGTCTTAGCCAACTAGAACATAAAATCCACGAATACAGGGACTTTATTTGGTCTATTTTCCATTGTATACTCAGCACATAGACTGATGCCTGGCACACAGTAGGTGCTCAGTAAATATTTGCTGAGTGAACAAATCCATGAATAAGTAAGCCCCTCCCACCTCCTTTCTAAAGCTCTTCAGTCACATTACAGCAGGGCCTCCACTAACGCTGTTTCTTCAACGTCTTCATTGTGACGCTGAGACGCCCTAGGAACTTAGCTCTTGTTTATGCCCATCAGTCAGGGTAAAACTGGTTTTGTTAGCTGTCACTTCACTTAAAGTCGCAGTTTCCAAGAACCTATTGATGACGTTAAGTGAGGACTTACTGTACATGACTTTTTATTGGATCCCCACAAATTGTAACTTGTGAAAATCATTTAAATTTCTCTGAGCCTTAGTTACACCATCTGTAAAGTGGGATTAAAAACTCTACTTACCTTCAAAAATTATTATGATCATCAGCTAAACTAATGTATGTTAAAATGTTTTAAAAGCCATATATTACTATATAAACATTGAGCCACTATAACCCTCCCTCCCCCAATACTGTATTACTTCATAGCCTTACCTACCTTTACAATCTACTTTGGAACCAAGAAAAAAGGGGCCTCGGAGAAACCAACATCAAAATAAAAATGACAAAGTCTCTGCACGAAAATGTGTAGTTTTCTCTTACTAGAGTCTCCAGGGCCCCACTCACAACCATCTTCCTTTTAAACCGGCTTTATATCCTATTCCAACAAGTCTGCTTTCCATCCATTGGTGGGCCACCAAGGGGGCAGAGGGGCTTGTTGATAAGAGTGACATCCCTGTCCCTGGTGCCCCGAGTGTGAGGGAGAAGGCTGCCCAACTGTAGCTCCACACACAGTGACCACGGCGGGGATCCGGGAGGGGCAAGCTGCCCGGTACCCCAGGTGGCCCTGGGGGGAGTGGGGCACCAGGGAAAGCCCTTGTCACAATGGTGATCCTCGGTCAACGAGGAAAGGTTAAAGTATGGCCAGTTCCCTGTTTAAAAAGGCAGGGCAGGGTGTGTAACGCATTTTAAGTAGATTTCTAACCAAATGATTAAAATAAAAACTGTTTACACACAAACAAGCTAAGTTGTAATTATAGATGGAAAATATTCTTGGCTAAACAACTGATGCTATTAGAGAAATTAGGCTTGATACCACATCGCTATCTAGAAACAGTGGGGAAAATGCTAGGCAATGGTTTTAATACCCCACAATTACATTGCTTATTTTAAATGTGGCTTGGACATGAAATAAACAACAAGGGAAGTAATCTCTGTATATTAACTCGGTCCACGGGTGGAAGACATTGTTTGTGAAGGAGCCACTCTGTGGTGCAGAAAAAAATAAGACATTTTAATCATAGTTCGTTCCTACCAGGATACTTCTGAGTTGGAGAAAATAAATTCGGATTTTCAGCATCCTAAGCAGGCCCTAATTAGGAATGCAAATCTGCTACATATACCAAAGTTTCGAATACTACGTCTAAGACAGAGATAGGCTTTGGGGATTATGCAATGTTTTCAATGACTGGTAATAACGCTTCTCTCCATTAGTGTGGATAATTAAGAGACAAGTCTCTAAGGTAACTAACTACTAATTCCCACATATAACTAAATCAATAAGCCATGTGCAAACCTCGCACAGCAACACAAATGTACTGTCTTTAGAGCTAGAAACAACTTGAAAGATGATTTTATCCAATGGTTCTTAAACCTGGTTACAAATGATAAGGTCCTGGGGAGCTTTAAAAAATACCTAATGCCTAGACCCCACACGCCAGAGATCATTTTACTTTGGCAAGCAACCTGGCACTAATGCGTGTAAATAGCTCCCAGGTATTTCCAATATGTAGGCAAGGTCGAGAACCACAGATTGAGTTCATTGGTTCCCAAACTGGGACTACATATCAGAATCACGTGGAGAGCTTTTTAGAAAGAGATCCAGGCTCCATCCCAGAACTATTGAATCAGAATCTCTGGAGGCAAGGGGCTAGAAATCGCTATGAAAAAACAAAACAGCCCTGGGCCAGTGTGGCTTAGTGGTTAGAGCATTGGCCCATGGACTGAAGGGTGGTGGGTTCGATTTCTGGTCAAGAGCACGTACCTCAGTTTTGGGTTTGCTCCCTGCCCCTCATCGGGGTGCCTGGGGGAGGCAATTAGTCAATGTGTCTCTCTCACACTGATGTTTCTCTCCCCTCTCCCTTCCCTGCCCTTCCATTCTCTCTGAAAAGCAATGTAAAAAAATATCCTCAGGTGAGGATTAACAAAACAAACCCAAATGCAAATAAACAAAATAAGACAAAAATCCTTGCCAAGTATTACTGCTGCGCATTCTGGTTTGGGGACCACTGATTCAATAGGGGATGGTCACTGGTGTGCCGGTAAACTGGCTCTTCAAAACAACACAAACAACAGACCATGATTTGTAGCGCTTGCCAATTTCCATGGTGTAAATACCCTCTTCATGGCTGAGTTGGTGCTACTAATGTGCCCTCACTGAAGGCAGAGTTGGAAAGAAATGTACACAGTTGACTCTTTCTTGGGAGCCAGTGCCAGCGGGCTCTATCTACTTAGTAATGTTCAAGTGTGAGCACCTGAACATTCACGCTCCTACTTACTCTCCCAGAACCCCTGGGCATTCTACTTAACCTCCCTCCCTTTCCTCAGCTGTGGAACAGGATGAATATATGACCCCCTCATAGGGTTGCATTGAAAAGTATATGATCACTATTACTTACTACATGTAAACAATGTACATATAGTACATATGTTTACTAGACACTATTATTTTCTCTAAAGTTGTTCCTTTGCTAAAACATTAATTATATTATTTCTATAATTATAATATTGCTACTATATTATTACAATTTACAATATCACTATAATATTTGCTATAAAGTACACTTTAATCAATTTAATTTTAAAGTTTACCTTTTTTCTAAGCCATAATAATTGGTAAAATCATGAGTTTGAGGTGTTAATCATAGTTTTTCCAATACTAAAGTAATTATTCAATTATCCAAATAAAGATGCTCATCTGTGCATGAACTGAAACCAGCTGGCAGATGGCAGAGTGTTTAAAGGCACTGCTTGAAAGCTCAGCTCTGCCACTTAGCAACTGGGGGACCCTAAGGAAGTGAACCTCTCTGGGCCTCAGTTTCCTCATCTTTAAAGTGGGGTTGTTATCAAGGTTAAATGTAAAGTGCTTAGCAGGGTGCCCAGCACACAGCGAGCGCTTTAAAAGGTTTGGTTGCTCTTGTCATTGCCATAGTGTATGTCATCAGCGGTAAGTGTGCCCCATTTGGGGACCCGCTGCTTCATTTTCTTCTGCGTCCCTCGAGGGTGGCGAGAGACTCTGCTACTTCATGTTGTTCCCCAGAGCCGAGCACGGCTTCTGACACAGCGTAATTCACCCCTGGGCATGGAGGCCTGCAGACCAGGGCGCCTCTGCGTGGACGTGAGCCCCTTCCCCCTCACCTGTACAATGCATGGACCCGCCTGGCAGGAATTAGGCGGAAGCGCAGGAAATCGCCAATTTTGGACTTTTTTGACCTCCCCCGAATGCCAGTTTGAGTTGCTAGTACCAAATGCCCGATCAAGTTTCTCCACGGACGGGGCCCCCTCTACTCCTCACCTGTTCCACGCTTGCTGGTGTGACCTTCCCTTTGCTTTGAGGCCGACAGAAAACAAGCCTCTGCCACCAGATCTTTGAGTTACAAGCCTGGAATTTCTATTTCTATTACCGCTGAAGACCGCGGCAGGCCGGAGCTAACGGCAGCAAACCCAGCCCCCACGCCCACCCTCATGCAATAGGCTGGGGCCCCCCACGCCCACCGCCCACCACGTGTCCTCCTGCCCAGGGCCAGGCACGGTGCCGTGTTCCTTCCACACGTGTGTGCCGTTTCATCTGCACGGCAAACCCACGTCCTGAGTATTATCATCTCTATTTTAAGGATGGGGAAACAGGCCCAGAGAACTTGAGTGGTTTGCTCCCTGTGAACTGAAAGTTTATACTTTGGGGCCTGGGAAAAGAAATTCACGTCTCTGCTGGTTGCAGTTATGCGAGCCTTTCCTCTCCCCCACTGTAAGGATTATCTACGTGAAGGGGCCCGAGGTCCCTCGATGAGAAATATTATATAAATTCAGAGCAGAATTATTGATGGTACATTCTTTCCTTAAACAAACAAAATATATGCTAATGCTAAATTCTCTCCAATTTTCCATTTTGCCTTCCTTTGAGAAATAAGCCAATAAACCATTACACACTCAACTTCCTGGGGAAATGAATTTAAATGTTAATATAAATCCCTTTAGAAAAAAACAAATTTTAACAAATAAGTATTTGAACAAGGAGGGCCCTTAACCACGTTCAGAATGAGAAACGTTCAGTATGAGACCCTTGGTGGCTGTTGAGATAAGCTCTCTAAATTTAATATTTTATAATAGACTCAAACCTCCTTTGTTAGAAATGGAGAAGCAGAATAATTTTCCTTCTCCTTCATTGGAATATATTGAAATCTCTGCAATTTTATTTTGCTAATAGGCAGGGCAGAGTCGGTCTACAAATGCGTCCTGGTTCATCCCAGGTAATCCCACGTTCTAGCAGCCCTGTGAGCACTTAACCTCAATTTAAATGTAAATGCCGGGCAACTTCAAGTGCTTTATCTGTGAACTTTGAGAGCTCTCTTCATTAATGAGGTCTGCACTAATTATACACAGTTTTGTAAGGTTTCCTTAAAACAACTACAGAATCGACCCCAAAATGAACAAATTCAGAATTGATTTGTTTTTAAAAAATACTGGCATCCTGTGCAAATTTCTAGCTCACGACCCTGCTTCCAAGGTGTGCATGCATGAGGTGAGGTGAGTGGTGTGATCACAGAATGAAGTATATCAGAGAAACTAATGAAAATAAAAACGAGAGTAAACCGGATTTATCCTCAGATAGGATGCCTCTTTCTGATGAAAGAAACCATACCCTCTTCTTATCTGATAAAAATGTTACCACGAAATGTTCTTGGCTTCCCCCTTTCTGGTGATTCAATTCAGGAATATGCAATTTAGCTGCAACTAATGAAAATAGCACCATCAAACTTCTCATAGAAGGAAACCAAAACCAAACAAACCCCCAAAAGCCAACCCCCCCCAAAATCCCAAACCCACAAAAACAATTTTCAGATACTCACAGGTACATCCACGTATTTGGAAGCTGCCTTCACCTAAGAAAGAAAGAAGAGGGTGGAAGTGAGGCTGGTGTTTATGTTTCACTGTTCACAGCTGAATGCGGCATCACCATCAGAGTTAAAACAATATGCTGGCACATGGAGCTGACCAGGAAACATGGAAAGGTACTAAAAAATAAAATCTGTTTGCTATTTTCCCCCAAGCCATAGCTACTGCTGGGGGTGGGGTGGGGGAGGGGAGGCAGGGAGGCAGGGAGGCAGGGAGGCAGGGGCAGGGGGAGAGAAAGTGAACAGAAAGAGAGAGTGAAGTTGTCCGCTTGAGATTCTGTAGCTGCGGTGGGAGCTTTGCATTTCCCTCCCTCCCTTTAAAAGGGAGGAAAATGACTGTAGCTAAGCCCCAGCTGATGAGTGGAGGGCTCCCCAGTCTAGAAAGGCACCTAAAGGCCGGTGCCACTTCTTGGGTCTGTGCAATTTGGCCTCAGGTTTGCTGACTCGAACCCTGCAGTTCTCAGTGTTGATGAACTCTCTTCAAGAGGAGGGATGTGGTGGGTGGGCATCTTTAATCCAGAGGGATATGGGTGTCTGTGGGGGCACCAGAGCCTCTCAAAACTGTCCTAAGGGTGCTGTTGTGTCTCTTGGTTTTAAACACTAGAAAACCCAGAAGGGAAGTTCAGGAAGTGGTTATGAAATTTATTTTCAGTTTTGGGGGAGGGAGTCTGGCAGAGGAGAGTGTTTGAGAACATGGAGTTTGGAGTCAGAGCAGGGTTCAAATCCTGCCTTTTCAACTTACAAGCTATGTGACCTTGCACAAGTTACTTCATCTCTCTGAGCCTCGGTTGCATCATCTGTGAAATGGAGATTCTACTAGTGCCTACTTCAGCTGGTCACCGTAAGTGTGAGTGCACACAAAGCCCTGGGACATAGTACGCAGGAAACAAGTAGCAGCTAAGATGCGCAATTCGTAAGTACACCTGGGTGGGCTCTGGGTGCTGTGAGAAGTCAATCAACAGCGGGGTTTGAGGAATAACACCTATGGGAGTACGTCTGATGTTCTATGTGTCTCATTTTCACTTGCATTTGGTCATATATGTTCCTCTAGGCACAGGTAAGACTAAGGGGCTACATTTGGGGTCAGAGAGGGTTTCCAGTTTTATGGGCAACCACAAAGACTGCGATGCACACACAGCAGTTAGGACGTCTTTTCGTATCTCAGGTAGGCTTCCCCTTGACATTGGCTGAGATCTATCAGAAATCACAACCTCAACCCACATTAAAGGATCCAGGGAGCATTTTTATTCCTGCCATTTCCCCAAAGCTGCTTTGCAAAATGTCAACTCCCAAGGGAGAGAAGCCAATGAGCCAAAGTGTAGGGTAGAAAGAGCCTAAGATTTTGTCAATAATTAGTGACAGAGCCAGTTGACCCTGGGATGGTGNGTTTTATTAGTGACAGAGCCAGTTGACCCTGGGATGGTGACTTCAATTTTTAGTCTTGGTTCCTATGTTTCTACAACAGGGTAATGATACTGTGCACTCTGCAGGGTTGAGAGCATGGTCAAGTAAAAATAAAATTTTAGAAAGTGCTTCATAAACTTTAAAGGGCTGAATACACATCGGTTAATCATTGAGACAGCAGAGTATTCCATCTTCTGAGCACCCAAGATGACCCCAGATTCTCCTGGTACTGACTCTCCTGGAGCCCCACACTTCCTCTTTGCAGCCCCATGGCCACTGCAAGGCAGCAAGTTCTGTGCAACATCTGTCTCCCACACAATGCCATCCGTGTCTTGCTCATGGCTGTCTTCCCAGCCACTCACTTGGAGCCTGTCTTAGGAAGGGCACTTAGGAAGAACTTACAGAAGGAAGGAAAGAGAAAGGGCTAGTGACCAGTTCTGGCTTCAGAATGGTTGAGGAATTAGCGGAGGGATGGCCAGACTGAGAAGCCGCTAAAGCCAACGCATTTGTATATGAAGCTGGCCACCTGCAAAGGCTGCTGGGGGAAGCAAACCACTCTGGGCCATTAAACGCTTTGAGGAAAGTGTCCCAGATTTTGACCAACTAATATTTCTATTAAATGGCTCACAGGCCCCAGTCATTCCTCTCATTCCTGCTCCAGAATTCAGTTTGGGTGAAAGATGGCTTTCCTTTCTTCCAGGTAACCCCCATTTAAAATAACGTTTGCGGATGTTTTCCACTTTGCAAAGCACTTTCATGTGCAGTTTCTTCTTCAAGCCACCCTGCAAAGTGGGGGCTTTGAGTCCTATCTATTTATGACTGAGAGCACTAAAGCCCATAGAATGTAAGACTTTCTTTGCTAATGACCTCAGCCTGCAGGTGGAGAAGCGAGGACCCCTGAGGCCCAGTTTTCCCTTTGGAGCTCCTGATCTCACCGATGGTAGAAAAGTGCAGGGAATCGGAGCCTGGTGGTCAGGGCAGGTGCTGGCAAAACAATTATTCTCAGTGGGAAATTGCCTCCTTTGCTGTGCGGAGTCGGTGCTTGGCAGTTGGTGGGAGTTTTGCTACAGCCGAAATGATCAACCTTTCAACAGGCCTCCTCTCCGCTTACCACTAACACGCAGTCCCAAGCCGAGCACGACACGGGTCAAAGCCTGTTCCTTTCCAGGCGGCGTGAACGCGAACCATCCCCTCCGTTCCCCGCACCAGCCTGCAGTTCACTGGGCTTGTTTCTCCCTGATAACTGCTGACTCGCACGGGGCCTTACCGATCTTCCTCCAGTCCCACAGTAACAGGACAAAATAGCTCGGAGTAAACTGAGGTCCGGTTGTTATTTAGAAACACGGCCCTGGCCATTGAACTTTAAGAAGGGTGCTGGTAAAGATACAGGGGAGCCTGGGAGGGCCTTGCGTAAGAAAGTGAGAGCGGAGGCGTCTTGCTGGAAACGGGCTAACGGCAGAGAAGATGACGGTCTTCATGCAGTTAAGTGAGGGCTTCAGTGGAGACGGAGCGACTGTGCCCACAGACCCTCCTGCCTAATGTCAGCAGTGCTGCCTGCATGCGTATTGCTTCTTTTCAGTGCCCACAGGAGGATGCATTCGGGCGAGCTATGCTCCACACGGAGAGGAAGCCAGCTCCTTCCGTCCCGCTAGGCCTTTGAAATCATGGCCAAGACTCAGAAACTCANCCCATCCCACTAGGCCTTTGAAATCATGGCCAAGACTCAGAAACTCAAGGGCACCCCGGGCCCCGTCTCTAGATCAGATCAACAGCAGGTCTTACAACCTACACAAAACTATTTCCATTATAGGTAGATGCTTTGATGAATAAAATATACATTTCTTAAGAAGTACTACCTGTTTTATAGAATTTTGTCGTTATGTATTTTCTCCCCATCCATGGTTCTCAAAAGTGTGTAATTTTCTTTCTTTTTTTAAACTTAAAAAAAAACTTCCTAGTGAAGTGACTACGAGGATGTGCTCAGGATTGCTGGGTCAAGAACTCAGGCTTTCCACTTTCTAGCTTGGTGACTGAGCGAGTGACTTAACTTCTCCGAGCCTCCGTGCAAATGGGGCAATAACAGCATTACTCAAAGGAATACCGAGGGGGTTGGAGGTGGCAATCAGACAGGCGTGCAGACAGTGCCGGGCACATGCACAATGCACCTGTTCCCGTCAGGGCCGGTGGACGTGCTGGCTGACTGGAGTAGGGAAGCACGTGCTCCTAGGCCCCACCTCTAGGCCACGGGCGCTTTCTTGCCATAAAAAAAGGATGCTGGAATCTCCCTAGGTTACCAGCAGGTACCTAAGTGGATTCTCAGCCTGGCACTCTCACTGCCAGTTCTGTGAACACCCTGTGCACTGGAGAACTTGCCCCTGAGACCCAGAGGCAGACAGCAAAGCCCTCTGTTCCCTGCTCAGGATGGCTGAACTTAGGCTGAGCTGAGGGGTGTTCCCAGATCAGTGCATTCTGTATATTCAGTGACACCTACCTACTGCTCTCTGGGGCCCAGCTATGTGCTCTGGGCATGGGAGATTGGGGGGGGGGGAAGGGGTTTGCCCCAGACACCTGGTCTGGTACCACTTCTAAGCAGGAACTCAACTGCCCTCAAAGGAGAGGCAAGAAGTGTGACTTCATTCCTTGGCTCCCTGCTTTCTCACTGTCCCCTCTGGTGGGACAAAGACAACCCCTTCTTTAGCAGTATCCACGAGCCCCCACCTCCTACCCCAACCTCCCAGATACAGCCAGTTCTGTGAAAGGAGTTTCGAAAAGGAGATGCAGATCAGGAGCTGTGGGGACCCAGGGTGAAGGTCGGGAGACCAGCTGGCAGGGAGCAGCCTGCTCGTGCGGCTGTGGGTGAAGGCTTTGCCCTGGGATCCCCATTCTTAGGTGGTGTCTGATGCACAATTTCTCCAGCCCTCGGACTGAGCCGCGTCTGTCCAGCAATTAAGATCTGTAAGGACCACTTCTAGAGTGCCTATGACTTTGGCAGGCGATGAGTTAGGAATATTGCGTTGGTTATATTTAATCCTGACAACAATCTTTTGAGGAGGGGATGTCCTATTACTATTCCCTTTTTACAGTTGAAGAAACTGAGGTAAAGAGCGATGGAGCAACTTGGTGTGAAGTCACATAGCTACTAAGTTAGAGCGTTGGACCCCCCATCCCTAAGACGCCTATTATTCAGTTAAAAAGACACACTATCAAACCACTTCTGTTGACCGGTCATATTTAAGTCTGTGTGTGTGTGTGTGTGTAGACGCCACCTAAAGTGGCTTCTCCAGGAAAAACATATGGGAGGTTTGATTCTCTGTGCTGACTCAGGCAGGGCAGAAGGTCCAGCACAGTTTCTCTGTCCCGAATGTCCCAGTTAATTACCTCGACCCTCCACCTGACTTAACGTGTGTAGACAGGCTTAATGGTTTCTCTATTGAGCACTTCCATTATTTTTCAGGTGCCCAAGGTAATCTTTTCATTGAACACTCGCCATTCTGGGATTTTCACAATGCTGATGACTAAGGGATTTTCTTCTGCCTGGTCCTAATAAGGGGACCTGAGTTAATCATTGTGAAGCTTTGATAGGG